GTCTGGAACTCCTGAGCTCAGGCCATCTGCCTGCTTTAGCCTTCCAAAGTGCTAGGATTATAGACATGAGCCACTACATCCAGCTTACAACTAGTTTTTAAATTGTCTGAGAAACTTGGTGTGAGAAGAAATCAAGAAGCACCAACCTGCATTAAATGGACTTATATAGCAGATATTTACTGCCTGAGCTCAGGCCATCTGCCTGCTTTAGCCTTCCAAAGTGCTAGGATTATAGACATGAGCCACTACACCCAGCTTACAACTAGTTTTTAAATTGTCTGAGATCTGGTGTGAGAAGAAATCAAGAAGCACCAACCTGCATTAAATGGACTTATATAGCAGATATACTTATATTGTTTCAACAGACTCAGATGAAACCAATAGGTAGATGAGAAAACATAGAGTCTAATAATAATCTTATTTTCTCAAGGTATCAAATCTAGTAGGTATCCAAGCCAGAAATCAAGTGAGTATGCTTAGGCCCAGTCTCTTTCACTTAACATATTCTATCATTGTTACAATAATATTACTTAGGAATGTGCCTTCCCCTAATCTTCAACAGGCTCTGCTCTGATAAATGTTTAGCTGCCCACGAGTTTGTTGAGGTATTATAGGGAAGAGAAAGCGTAGGAACATTCTGGAGTTTTGGAGTGATGACTGGTTCTAATCCAATGTATGGGTAAAATCTTAGGGACCTGGGCTCACTTCAGAGTACACTGAATTATGATACATAAACACTTTTTTCCATGAACATTACATTTACTCATACTCAGAATTATTTGCTTAAAGGCTTTTTCCCTAAAACATTTTAACATTAGGAGATTCTACATTAACGTTAGCACACTCAAGAAGTGATGCTGTTGCTAACAACAGTGTAATGTGTCAAACTATTAATCAGTGTAATTTTGGATGCCATAACACAAAGAATAAACTTTACAAAACTTTTAAGCATCATGTTAATGTTTGGCATTCTCTATTTATTTCCATGCTAGAATTACGTTGCTCCCAATTTAACCAGGTCAGTTTGATTCTCACTCAGAATTTAGAGATAGCCCTGAAGTCACTTTTTGGAACTGTTGGAAAAATTTCACAAACTCATGTCTAAGTCACAGCATCAAGAATCAGGAAAATAAGAGGAATGTGGAAAGTGCCAATACACATGAAAAGCCTAAACATACCCACTGTTCACAATGTCCTTTCCTCTTAAAGCACTGCCCCCAAACTAGCCAATCCATGAAACACCTTTTCTGGTTATCTTTTTAAAATTTTTGTGACTTGGGTCACACATACCTGCCATGAGAAGTGATGTACCAAGGTCAATCCAGAGAAGACACAACGTCTGCTTGTTCAGGAAGAACCGGTTCAGATCGTTGGAGCTGAGTTGGATGTTAAAGAATCCGAATGTTGACCAGGAAAAAATTCAACATCGAAAGAGAAAGAAAAGTTTGTGTATTTAAATGATACTCTTCAATTATCTATTGGCGAGATATGTTGGTATGGCACAGATAAGAAGCAGCAAAGCAATCAAATCATAAGTTTCAGCTTGTTCCAGGAACTAAATCACAGGAAATACTCACAGTACTTTTTTTTTTTTTTCCACCCTGGGTTTTATTGAGCAGGTAGCTGCAGTAGTGTTTCTGAGCTGCCTCACATTCCTGCACTCAGCTGGGGCCCTAGGGTGGCACACAGTACTTTTGTAATATTAACACCTTGACCAGCACTAAAAAAGGTGAAAGGGAGACTTTTTTTTCTTAATGTTTGAATATCAGAGTCATCTCAAAATGTTACTTGGAAAATGGGGAGAAATGAGCAAACCAAAGATAAATTTATTTAGTATAATAAACTTCCCTGCAGAATTTTCCTCTTTAAATAGCAACGAATGTTTATTATCTACCTTGGGAACAACACAGTTTAAAGCACTTGGCGTATGTTAGTTCGTTTATTTCTTTAAAACGGCTTCAAGATGAAGATGCATGGAAGTGGAGGCAATCTGGCTGAAACAGCTGTCACCCCGCTGATCACCTGAGTTGATCTGGCTGGCTAAGCAGGTGTCCCTTCCTCCCTCAATGCTCCAGGGGCATCCCTCTCGCAGCTGTGCACCTGTGCCCTCAGTCGAAGAGGACAACCTCTCCCAATACAGAAGTCCAGACTCAAGTCAAAAATAAAATAACTGAACACACACCTACACATACATAAACACAAATGTTGTGCATATTTATATGTATACAACCCCTCCCTTTAATTCCTTCTGAACTGCTAAGCCTGGTTGATGCTGTGATTCCTTTTTGTTCCTCAGTAGGCGAATGGGTTTCACATTTCACACGCAGGGTCCCTACCACTCATCTGCACTCTAATGCAAGGTCATTACTGCCCTGCCCTTGTCCCTTGAAATACTGGCTGAAATGTGGACAACTAGTATCTGCATCACTATCAACGGGACTCTTTTCTCCTAGAATGTTTTGCTTCTATTATGCATGGCAGCCAAGAATCATCTAAATAATTATCACCAGGATGGGCCTCCACCAAGGAATCTCAGGATGTAGTACTGGATAACCCAGCAATTTCGGCCCTACAGGGAGGCAATTCTGAACATTGTGTTCTGCCCCATTTCCCAGAATCACTCAACAATGCTAAGCTCCAGCTGCCTACTCTAAGTTAAGAAAACTTCTATCACATACTGCCTTCCTTTCCCATAGTAACACTCCCTTTCCTACCTTTATTCAGTACACGTTCCAAACAAACATAACACTGAAAACCATTCTCAGGATCTGCTGTAGAGAGAAACCAGACTGTTCCACCACAATGTCCAGCTTCATTTCTATAAATTTGTTATTGAAAAGTTAGGTATTCAGGGTGGCACCTGTGGCTCA